AACCTTGTCCTCACCGTCAGAAACCTTGTCCTCGCCGTCAGGAACCTTGTCCTCACTATCAGGAACCTTGTTCTCAGCGTCAGGAACCTTGTCCTCACCGTCAGGAACCTTGTCCTCTCCGTCAGGAACCTTGTTCTCACTCTCAGGAACCTTGTTCTCAGCGTCAGGAACCTTGTCCTCACCGTCAGGAACCTTGTCCTCTCCGTCAGGAACCTTGTCCTCACCGTCAGGAACCTTGTCCTCAGCATCAGGAACCTTGTCCTCAGCGTCAAGAACCTTGTCGTCAGCGTCACCGTCAGGAACCTTGTCCTCACAGTCAGGAAGCTTCTCCTCACAGTCAAGAACCTTGTCCTCACAGTCAGAAACCTTGTCCTCAGCGTCAGAAACCTTGTCCTCATCGTCAGGAACCTTGTCCTCACCGTCAGAAACCTTGTCCTCGCCGTCAGGAACCTTGCCCTCACTATCAGGAACCTTGTTCTCAGCGTCAGGAACCTTGTCCTCACCGTCAGGAACCTTGTCCTCGCCGTCAGGAATCTTGTCCTCACTGTCAGGAACCTTGTCCTCAGCATCAGGAACATTGTCCTCAGCGTCAAGAACCTTGTCGTCAGCGTCACCGTCAGGAACCTTGTCCTCACAGTCAGGAAGCTTCTCCTCACAGTCAAGAACCTTGTCCTGACAGTCAGGAACCTTGTCCTCAGCGTCAGGAACCTTGTCATCAGAGTCAGGAACCTTGTCTCCACCGTCAGGAACCTTGTCCTCACCATCAGGAACCTTGTCCTCACAGTCAGGATCCTCGTCCTCAGCGCCAGGAACCTTGTACTCAGCGTCAGAAACCTTGTCCTCAGCGTCAGAAACCTTGTTCTCAGCGTCAGGAACCTTGTCCTCACAGTTAGAAACCTTGTCCTCGCCGTCAGGAACCTTGTCCTCACTACCAGGAACCTTGTTCTCAGCGTCAGGAACCTTGTCCTCACCGTAAGGAACCTTGTCCTCTCCGTCAGGAACCTTGTCCTCACCGTGAGGAACCTTTTTCTTACCGTCAGGAACCTTGTCCTCACTGTCAGGATCCTTGTCCTCAGCGTCAGGAACCTTGTCCTCACCGTCAGGAACCTTGTCGTCACCGTCAGGAACCTTGTCGTCACCGTCAGGACCCTTGTCCTCACCGTCCGGAACCTTGTTCTCACAGTCAGGAAGCTTGTCCTCAGCGCCAGGATCCTTGTCCTCAGCGTCAGAAACCTTGTCCTCCGCGTCAGAAACCTTGTCCTCACAGTCGGGAGCCTTGTTTTCGCCGTCAGGAACCTTTTCCTCACTATCAGGAACCTTGTTCTCAGCCTCAGGAACCTTGTCATCACCGTCAGGAACCTTGTCATCGCCGTCAGGAACCTTGTCCTCACTATCAGGAACACTGTTCTCAGCGTCAGGGACTTTGTCCTCGCCGTCAGGAACCTTGTCCTCTCCGTCAGGAACCTTGTCCTCACCGTCAGGAACCTTTTTCTTAACGTCAGGAAACTTGTTCTCACTGTCAGGAACCTTGTCCTCAGCGTCAGGAACCTTTTCCTCAGCGTGAGGAACCTTGTCCTCACCGTCAGGAACCTTTTCCTCACCGTCAGCAACCTTGTCCTCACTGTCAGGAACCTTTTCGTCATCGTCAGGAACCTTGTCCTCAGCGTCAGGAACGTTGTCGTCAGCGTAAGTAACCTTGTCCTCACAATCAGGAACCTTACCCTCACAGTCAGGAACCTTGTCCTCACTGTCAGGAACCTTGTCCTCAGCGTCAGGAACCTTGTCCTCAGCGTCATGTACCTTGTTTTTTGCGTCAGGAACCTTGTCCTCGCCGCCTGGAACCTTGTCCTCAGCGTCAGAAACCTTGTCCTCAGCGTCAGGGACCTTGTCCTCACCGTCAGAAACCTTGTCCTCGCCGTCAGGAACCTTGTCCTCACTATCAGGAACCTTGTTCTCAGTGCCAGAAACCTTGTCCTCAGCGTCAGAAACCTTGTCCTCAGCATCAGAAACCTTGTCCTCACCGTCAGGAACCTTGCCCTCACCGACAGGAACCTTGTCCTCACTATCAGGAACCTTACACTCAGCGTCAGGAACCTTGTCCTCAGCGTCAGAAACCTTGTTCTCAGCGTCAGGAACCTTGTCCTCACCGTCAGAAACCTTGTCCTCGCCGTCAGGAACCTTGTCCTCACTACCAGGAACCTTGTTCTCAGCGTCAGGAACCTTGTCCTCACCGTAAGGAACCTTGCCCTCTCCGTCAGGAGCCTTGTCCTCACCGTGAGGAACCTTTTTCTTACCGTCAGGAACCTTGTCCTCACTGTCAAGAACCTTGTCCTCAGCGTCAGGAACCTTGTCCTCACCGTCAGGAACCTTGTCGTCACCGTCAGGAAACTTGTCGTCACCGTCAGGACCCTTGTCCTCACCGTCCAGAACCTTGTTCTCACAGTCAGGAAGCTTGTCCTCAGCGCCAGGATCCTTGTCCTCAGCGTCAGAAACCTTGTCCTCCGCGTCAGAAACCTTGTCCTAACAGTCGGGAGCCTTGTCCTCGCCGTCAGGAACCTTTTCCTCGCTATCAGGAACCTTGTTCTCAGCCTCAGGAACCTTGTCCTCACCGTCAGGAACCTTGTCATATCCGTCAGGTACCTTGTCCTCACTATCAGGAACCTTGTTCTCAGCGTCAGGGACCTTGTCCTCGCCGTCAGGCACCTTGTCCTCTCCGTCAGGAACCTTGTCCTCACCGTCAGGAACCTTTTTCTTACCGTCAGGAAATTGTTCTCACTGTCAGGAACCTTGTCCTCAGCGTCAGGAACCTTTTCCTCGTCAGGAACCTTGTCCTCACCGTCAGGAACCTTCTCCTCACCGTCAGCAACCTTGTCCTCACTGTCAGGAACCTTTTCGTGACCGTCAGGAACATTGTCCTCAGCGTCAGGAACCTTGTCGTCAGCGTAAGTAACCTTGTCCTCACAATCAGGAACCTTGTCCTCACAGTCAGGAACCTTGTCTTCACTGTCAGGAACCTTGTCGTCAGCGTGAGGAACCTTGTTCTCAGCGTCAGGAACCTTGTCCGTAGCGTCAGGAACCTTGTCCTTAGCGTCAGGAACCTTGTCCTCATCGTCAGAAACCTTGTCCTCAGCGTCAGGAACCTTGTCGTCACCGTCAGGAACCTTGTCCTCACTATAAGGAACCTTGTTCTCACAGTCAGGAACTTTGTCATCGCCGTCAGGAACCTTGTCCTCACTATCAGGAACCTTGTTCTCAGCGTCAGGAACCTTGTCCTCACCGTCAGGAACCTTGTCCTCTCCGTCAGGAACCTTGTCCTCACCGTCACGAACCTTGTTATTACCGTCAGGAAACTTGTCCTCAGCGTCAGGAACCTTGTCCTCAGCGTCAGGATCCTTGACGTCAGAGTCAGCGTCAGGAACCTTGTCCTCACAGTCAGAAAGCTTGTCCTCACAGTCAGGAACGTTGTCCTCACAGTCAGGAACCTTGCCCTCAGCGTCAGGAACCTTGTCGTCAGCGTGAGGAACCTTGTCTCCACCGTCAGGAACCTTTTCCTCACCGTCAGGAACCTTGTCCTCACAGTCAGGAACCTTGTCCTCACAGTCAGGAACCTTGTCCTCGCTGTCAGAAACCTTGTCCTCACTATCAGGAACGTTGTCCTCACCGTCAGCAACCTTGTCCTCAGCGTCAGGAACCTTGTCCTCACCGTCAGGAACCTTGTCCTCACCGTCAGGAACCTTGTCGTCACCGTCAGGAACCTTGTCCTCAGCGTCAGGAACCTTGTTCTCACAGTCAGGAACCTTGTCTTCACAGTCAGGAACCTTGTCCTCGCCGTCAGGAACGTTGTCCTCGCTATCAGAAACCTTGTTCTCAGCGTCACGAACCTTGCCCTCACCGTCAGGAACCTTGTCATCGCCGTCAGGAACCTTGTCCTCACTATCAGGAACCTTGTTCTCAGCGTCAGGAACCTTGTCTTCGCCGTCAGGAACCTTGTACTCTCCGTCAGGAACCTTGTCTCCACCGTCAGGAACCTTGTCCTCACCGTCAGGAACCTTGTCCTCACAGTCAGGATCCTTGTCCTCAGCGCCACGAGCCTTGTCTTCATCGTCACGAACCTTGTCCTTAGCGTCAGAAACCTTGTCCGCACAGTCGGGAACCTTGTCCTCACAGTCAGGAACCTTGTCCTCGTCGTCAGGAACGTTGTCCTCACTATCAGGAACCTTGTCCTCACCGTCAGGAACCTTGTCATCGCCGTCAGGAACCTTGTCCTCACTATCAGGAACCTTGTTCTCAGCGTCAGGAACCTTGTCCTCGCCGTCAGGAACCTTGGCCTCTCCGTCAGGAACCTCGTCCTCACCGTCAGGAACCTTTTTCTTACCGTCAGGAACCTTTTCCTCACTGTCAGGAACCTTCTCCTCAGCGTCAGGAACCTTGTCCTCAGCGTCAGGAACCTTATCGTCAGCGTCAGGAACCTTGTCCTCACTGTCAGGAACCTTGTCCTCAGCGTCAGGAACCTTGCCCTCAGCGTCAGGATCAGGAACCTTGTCGTCAGCGTCAGGAAACTTGTCCTCACAGTCAGGAACCTTGTCCTCACCGTCAGGAACCTTGTCCTCACCGTCGGGAACCTTGTCGTCAGCGTCAGAAACCTTGTCCTCACCGTCAGGAACCTTGTCCTCACAGTCAGGAACCTTGTCGTCAGCGCCAGGAACCTTGTCCTCAGCGTCTGGAACCTTGTCCTCACAGTCAGGAACCTTGTCCTCAGCGTCTGGAACCTTGTCCTCAGCGTCTGGAACCTTGTTCTGACCGTCAGGAACCTTGTCATCCCCGTCAGCAACCTTGTCCTCACTATCAGGAACCTTGTTCTTTGCGTCATGAACCTTGTCCTCGCCGCAGGAACCTTGTCCTCCCCGTCAGGAACCTTGTCCTCACCGTCAGGAACCTTGTCCTCACCGGCAGGAACCTTGTCCTCTCCGTAAGGAACCTTGTCCTCACCGTCAGGAACCTTTTCTTACCGTCATGAACCTTGTCCTCACTGTCAGGAACCTGGTCCTCTCCGTCAGGAACCTTGTCCTCACAGTCAGGAACCTTGTCCTCACCGTCAGGAACCTTGTCCTCACCGTCAGGAAACTGGTCGTCAGCGTCAGGAACCCTGTCCTCACCGTCAGGAACCTTGTCCTCACAGTCAGGACCTTGTCCTCAGCGCCAGGAACCTTGTGCTCAGTGTGAGGAACCTTGTCCTCACAATCAGGAACCTTGTCCTCAGCGTCTGGAACCTTGCCCTCAGCGTCTGGAACCTTGTCCTCAGCGTCTGGAACCTTGTCCTCAGCGTCAGGAACCTTGTCTTCAGCGTGAGGAACATTGTCCTCACCGTCGGAACATTGTCCTCACAGTCAGGAACCTTGTCCTCAGCGTCTGGAACCTTGTGCTCAGCGTCAGGAACCTTGTCCTCGCCGTCGGAACATTGTTCTCACCGTCAGGAACCTTGTCCTCACCGTCAGGAGCCTTGTGCTCAGCATCAGCAACCTTGTCCTCACCGTCAGGAACCTTGTCCTCACCGTCAGCTACCTTGTCCTCACCGTCAGGAACATTGTCCTCTTCGTCAGGAACCTTGTCCTCACCGTCAGGAACCTTTTCCTGACCGTCGGAACCTTGTCCTCACTGTCAGGAACCTTGTCCTCAGCGTCAGCAACCTTGTCTTCAGCGTCAGGAACCTTGTCTTCAGCGTCAGGAACCTTGTCGTCAGCGTCAGGAACCTTGTCCTCACAGTCAGGAACCTCGTCCTCTGGTTCGAAGTCGAAATTATCTTTTAACTTTATTTATCTATATACGAATCGTATCAATCTTAATTTTTACATACACTAACTGTTTACTAGTTCGCCTGGCTATATATAAGTCCAATCTACATATTTATGCACTATTAGTTGTCATTGTTCACGCGATAATAAGGTTGCGAAATAAGGTCAAGGTCACTTCTGAACATTCTCCCCTTCCTTGACTAGTCGAAGTCAATATCACACAATATATACATAATCACACATTATACATAATCACACATTATACATAATCACACATTATATACATAGTCTATAGCTTAAGAGTGAATGTCAGTAAAATCGAACATATGAGATAGTTCGCGGCCACGACTGAAAAATCGATTTTGCTCAAATTTTGCCCAGATATACCTTATTATATCGGAAAATGCACCATATATTTTTTTAGGCCAAATGCTTTTTAACTTTGAGAAAATGCCGTTTTAACACGACCACCCTAAATCGCCATTTTGTCTGGGAAAATATGCGCTGAGTTTACCGACAAATTTCACGACGACAACCGTTTCTAATCGATCTAAAACCCTAAAAATCTTGTTTTCGGTTATTCAAAGGACCGGGTACGTGACTTACAAGAAGTCTGAGTTACTTTTAGGAATAGAAATAATCGTAGTTTTGGAGCACACTATCTTACTTCATTTACGATGCCCTCTTAACAAAAACGATTTTCACTATGGGATAAAGCTCCAAATCGATCATGCTTCTACTAGTTGGCTCTTTAATAAACAAGCTTTCAATTGACGTAAATACTTCTTTGGGCAAATGAATACGCGATAAACGACAGCGCGCTGAAATCGTCCGTTTTTGACGTCTTGCAAGCAAACGCTGTTAATTTACATACCGTCGAAGTAAACAATTTAGTCAAGTATTCTAAGTATTTTACCTTTTCAGAAGAAGATATATTCTTGAATGGAGACTTTTTGCCTTGGTAAGTTTAAAATTGGTCCAAAAATCCTGATATATTTATAAAATATCATCATATACAGGTATTTTGAGATATAATATTGTTGTCAGTTGCATAATAACTTCAGATCACTGTTCAATATTGTCTACTTTTAATAGCGCTAACATACCAATCGATGAGCTGTTTAGGGATTATATTTGCTACTAAATTTCCCAAAATTAGAACTTCAGTTGTTGTTTTGTTCCAGTTTGATCCATATAATGTACCATTTTACATATCGACTATGCTATCGAGTATAAATGTTTACGAATACATAAGTTAATTATTAAAGGGTAATGGCAATAAAAAATTTTATTGCTTTATCTGAAAGAGCATAAAAAAATAAGCCGATTGGCCGTTTACTGCTCTATTCTATCTCATCTAGTTCCGAAGTTATACGCAAAAATGTGCAAAATATAAATTGCTGATTCAGCACAACGTGTGACGTCATTGGTAGGGTAAGTATGTTTAATGAATACTAAACTGAAGCATAGCTCAGTCATTATGGGACCAAATCAAATGAAATTTTGGATACTGATTGTACATGATGAGACGCATTGAAAAACACTTCTAATTTTGTTGCCAAGGTAACAATGTCGTTCCCAGGCCCCTTGCGCCAATTTTATAAAACAGCTTTATTCATGGTACTTATAAGAATAAAATAATGTCAGAAGTATGTGTACCATACCTATGCATGCCAAAAGTTTACTTGCATGATAATAATTCGAAAATGACATACACATAGATAAATGCAACTAGTTATTCAAAATCGGTTTAAGGGGCCTGGGAACAACTGTGTTGCCTTGACAACAAAATTAGAAGTATTTTCCCATGCGTCTAATCTGTATGCAAAATTTCATTTGATTTGGGCCCATAATAACTGAGCTATGCTTCAGTTTACTATTCAATAAACTACTTACCCAACCAATGACGTCACACGTTGTGCTGAATCAGCAATTTATATTTTGCACATTTTTGCGCATAACTTTGGAACCAGATGAGATATAATAGAGCAGTAAACGGCCAATCGGCTTATTTTTTCATGCTCTTTCAGATAAAGCAATAAAAAATTTTATTGCCAATGTCCTTTAAAGTCCCTGAAAAGTTAAAAATTAAAAACTCCCAGTTATGGACAAATAACTTTAGTCATTATTGTTGATAGTAATTAATTTTACTGGAGAAAATGCATGAAGTCATAAGACAGAGCTAAGTCAGGCGACTGTAGACAGTAATTCATGTCCCATCATGTCTTCATTTTGCATTTTGGGAGAAAATTGCTCAAGTTTGCCCCGACGAAAGTCCACAGTTTTTTTATGAATACAAAGGATGGCTCATACTGGACCTCTAGAGAGAACACTTCAGAACAGAGTTTTCTCCTGTATATAGCAACACTGAGCCAATGAATTGAACGGATTGTTTTTACTGGACTTCTAGGAAAAATAGTGTTATAGTAGTAGGCCGTTTGCTGTGACCTGGAAAAGTGCCTAGAAAACGATTTTCATTTTCTCTGTCTTGGAACACTTTCGAACACGCTGAGTTCAAATCCGAAAAGTTCCCGCTCTATAGACCTGCAGTTTTCTCACAAACTGCAATTTTATCTTCACTAATTTCACGACAACTTTTTTCATTGTTCAACGACACGGATCGGTGACGACAAACGATCATGTC